GAAGTAATGATTGTCTAAAAAGTTATTCTAATTATCTCACATTTAATTTAAGTTATTAATGTTTGGTGTATTTTAAGTTACCAATGTAGAAGTAATGATTGTCTAAAAAGTTATTCTAATTATCTCACATTTAATTTAAGTTATTAATGTTTGGTGTATTTTAAGTTGCCAATGTGGTGACCATTATGTACATTAAACTATTAGTGTTGTGCATGCATGCATGTGATTAATGTTATTTAATGCATTCTGTTTTACTAGGATGGAATGCAGAAACAAATACTTGTATGTTAAGCACTACACTAGTGTTAAGTAAAATGTTTATGTCAAAGAAAATAATCATAAACAATTTTTGTTTTGATATAGTACAAACTTGTAAAAATATACATCTCTTTTCAGCCCAATTTACTGGCATCTGGAGCTGCTGAATCTGAGATATTTATTTGGGACTTAAACAACCCCACTACACCTATGACTCCAGGAGCAAAATCCCAGGTGGGGTCTTTATTTTTCAATAATATCAGTCGGTATACATCTCTTGTTCTGTTCTAATTAGTTTGTTGCCTGCTAAAGCAAGACTGTTTATTGAGTTTGTTCAAGCCTTTTTACTAAGATGGTCATGTTTTTTTGTAATGCAGTATTTGAACTATTGTTACTTACACTTATTAATAAGAAACTACCTTCCTGGTGTATTTTAATTTTTTAATATGTACTATTTCAACAAAATATCAGTAAATTTTCTCAAAGATGTGACAAAACTGTTCAAATTTCTTGTTTTCTATGCAAACTGTTAAGCTACTTCATGTAATTAATTTTAGTGAGTGGAAATTTATTGTATTAAATTTAGTGTTACTTGTTTGAAGCTCATTAACCTCTTAAATTAGTCGTTATGTTTAACTAAAGTACTTGAAACATGTTTCAAATGTGTCCAGACTTTTGCCAAACTGATCAATCAGGTTTCAGTATTTAATTTTATTTTGAAAAGTTTCAAAAGGATTATGAGTAATTATGAATAGGAAATTTTACCAGAAAATATAGAAAGTGTGGTAATACAGATTGTTATTTGAATTTTTTAGTTTCTCTAAACATGGAATATTGATTTGTTTATTATAGCCTGCTGAAGTAGTGACGTGTGTAGCATGGAATCGACAAGTTCAGCATATATTAGCATCTACTTTTTCTGCAAAATGTGTTGTTTGGGATTTACGTAAGAATGAGCCAATCATCAAAGTTTCAGACACAACATCCAGAGTGAGTGTTGTACATTATCATTGCTCTTAAAAAGGCAATTTTTAAAATGTGTTTGGACTTAACGATAAGGTGTATTAGGATGAGAATAATGGCCATTTGTGCCACAGAGTTATGCTTCAAATAGCCATACATGAAGAATGTCCTTTTTTATACTGTAACACTGTAGAAGTAATGATATTTTTTTTTTGTCTAGAGCTAATTTGAAGCTGAAATATTGTCCTTTCACACGACTTCTGGGTTTAAGAAACTTGTTAAAAAACTATCCCCTAATTCATAAAGACTATCTTGAATCATTCTCTCAGTTCCCAAATTATGTACTTTTTCAATTGGCACAAGTACTTTTTTTGATATTTTTGTGTAATTCTGAAACATTTTTATAGAAATTGCACATATATGGTGTTGCAGTACACCTGACATAATTTTTTGAACAAAATACTTTAGAGCTGTGTTTAAAAAAAACTTGTGTACACATAACCCTGAATAAATGCTAGTTTTGTTGTATTGTCATGATATTGGTACACAGACATACCTGCAAGCAAGTGGAGATATAGTATTGGAGTTATGTATATTTTTTAGAATGTGTTATGTAGTCTAATACATAATTATGTTCATATCAGCTGGTTTAGCATTATAAACCTTCTGGGTTCATATAGCCCAAAAAGTCCTAGAGATTCTTAAGTTCAGGCATGTAAAGTTTTTGAAGAATGATAATGTTTTTAAAGTTTTATACTACTAAAATGATTTCAAATTATGTTTATCCAGAAATTTTGAAATATAATTATATGTTTGGTTCATTGTTTTAAACTTCATTTCTCATCATCAACTTATTTACTTGCCCGAATAACAAGTTACATTTCACAAGGCAGTTGTAGCTACTCTCAACCATGAGTAAATAATTAGCAATTTATTCCCTGAACTGTATGTATTGCAGTAAATTGTATCACTAATCTGCATTATTTCAGTATCTGGTTGGTTTTAGCAATTCAGTTGTTAAGAAACTTGAAATAATACTTGGCAGTAATAAAATTATTACAAATATGTACAAAAAAAAAGTACTTGTGTAAATTAAACAAAGCTGAGTCTGTTTGGCTTATATTTAGGACTGAGAAAAACTAGTTTACTTCATATAAAAAAAATTCTGTATACACTTTAGTGTGGACTGTAATTTTATTTATTAGTGCTGAGGCCAAGAAAAATAACAAATAGTCTAAATTTGTAAAAACAAAAAATATTTTAACCCTTGTGAAACAGTGAGCTGTATTCTAGATTCAACATCATAATTTGTTTTGTTATGAACCTTAACAACCTTACTAAACATATGACTTGACATAATTATCCTTATTAAGACTGACCATCAGTAGGTGCTGGTATGAGGAGAAGTTGAGACATATTTTTTCATCTTTATTTTACTTCACGTAGAGAAAAACAGTTCTATATATCTTACCAGGTGTGGATGTAGACTCGTACTGTACACAGAGATTATTTACATAGTTAGTAAATCAGATATTAATATTGTATAAGTTCTTAATTTTATAAGGAAATATTAAAACAAAATATGAGTCTCCCCTAGTATGAGAATTGTGACATTTGTACTCTAGATCTTTTCCCTTCTCTAATTTATTTGACATCTTTTTCATTATAATATAGATATTACTTAGGCAAAGTAATTTATATAGCTTTCCTGTCACATCCTCTTTCACAAATTGCCAATAATTCTCCCTGAATTTATACTATATCATTATAACCAGTAGAAAGGCCTTATTTAATCTATCAATGATTATAATTCTATGTTCTTTCAGTACAGAGTATTGCTAATTTTGGCTTCAGTTTGAAAGTTTGTCATGGTGTTCAGATCAAGCAGCTTAGGAAATTATTTTAAGATCGAAACTTAAGTTAGAAAGCCATTTAAATTATAATAGTAATAGGACATTATTTGCTTTGTGCATGTTATTATTCTGTGTTCTTAGGTGCATTATACAAATAAATAAAAAAATTGAGTGTACTAGTACCATCATTATGAAAAATATATATATATAAAAGGAGCTTAAATTCCATTGTCAACCTACAGCAAAAAACAAGGTTAAAGTAAACACTATATTTCTTGTTTTCATATATGTTCTTTATTTATTGTTATAAAAGTAACTAGGTTGTAAAATTTATTAACTTATTAGGTGAGTTAAGATTAGATTAAGTAAGATAATAAATAATAATGATAATAATATAATTTCTTTAGAAGGTGTATGCTTGTGAGCAGCTTGTGCATTACATCATTCAGTACAGTAACATGAGCTACATGTTTGCTGAATGATTTACAATTTGTGTGGTGGGATTATTAGTTAGACATGGTTCAAAGAGCAATAAAATTATGTATAATCAGATCTATACTGTTACAAGCTTTAAGCTGTTTGGGATAAATAATTGTAATCTGTTACAATCTGCAATCATTCTAGAAAGAAAGAAAGGATAACTTAGATTGATACAATTTTTTTTCATGTTGGTTATAAGGTCAGTCAGATTGACTGAGTCAGTATAGATTTAGAGCAGAGAATATAACAGATAAAATATAAAATTTTACAAAAAAAGGGTTTATTTACTTAGGAGCTTTTAGATGTTAAGCAAATGAAATTTGAAAATTTTCAGGAAAAGAAAATAATTTTTAATTTTAGCATGAAATCACTTAGTGTCAACACTCAATACTCTGACTCTGTATGTACATAGACAAATACTTAATTAAAAAATCTGACATTTTATATACAAAAGACTTGTAATGTTTACTGAAAACATGCCAAATGTTGTGAAGATACACAAAACATATTAAAAGTTATAATACGGAAACTAATAGTTTGTGGTTTCAGTGTTGGTCATGTTGACTGACCCCATATGGAAAGAGTTAAGCAGGAATGTATAACTGATTGATTGAAATTACTAATCACAGAAATACTTCAGTACTAGGATGACATTTTTGTTTAGAAGTAGTTTTAAATTCCAGGAACATAAAACATACATTTAGAAAACTAAATACCTGCTTGCATCATCCTGAGAAAAATATATTTTGTTTTGTGATATTTATGTTTAAAAAATGTGTTATACTTGTTTTTTGTTAAATCTTGTAATACCAATGATTTCTTGAATAACTGTTTTATTACCCTTGAAAAACTTGCCCCAATGTGTGCAATCTCTTCTTTATTATTATTTTAGAATATTTAATTATTTCTCTTCAGATCAGATGCAAAGTTGTATCTTGGCATCCAGAAGTAGCCACACAACTTTGTCTTGCATCAGAGGATGACCACAGTCCAGTTATCCAGCTGTGGGATCTGAGGTTTGCCACTTCACCACTGAAGACCCTAGAACATCACCAAAGGTGTGAAAAATGGTCCTAGTGTATAGAGGAGTTTTAATCAATGAAAAATAGTTGTCTCCCAGTTACAAAATAATGAGACATCCCATTTAGAAAAAAAATAAAAATACAAAAACAGTAAATGTTAAAAATATTCTATATCTGGAGAGTTACATTGGATAATGTTTTGGTCTTTGCTAATGGCCTTGGCACAGGAACTGAAACTTTGTCCACTTCCACACTTAAGGCAAGTGCAGTCAATAAAATTTTCAAATTTATTGCAGTCTGTTCTGCTTAAAACTCATCCTGTTGTTAGTGACAGAAATACTTATTGTATGGTGTTTGTAGTTGTATTTTACTCTCTCTAGCAAACCTATACTTATATAGAGTTTGAATATGTAATATTGATGCTACTAATATATTCTTTTGAATTATTCAGCAGACAAGCTGCTTGAGATTACTAAGTATAAATGTCCCAGACTACCAATGAGAAGTGGATTTTAACTTGAATGTATGTTTCAAGTTTATGGATGATTAAATATCCTTCCCCCTATTGGCTCAGTGATAAGTTCTTGGGTTTTTAATGCCAAGAATTTGGTTACAATACCTGCAGTGGGCAGAGGACATATAGCCCATTATTTGGCTTTGCAGTTAATAGTGAATAGACTAAATATCTATTGATTGGTTAATAATTTTTGGTGAATTTCAAGAAATGTTTCAGTTTTAATACACCAATAACTTGTATTGATGATTATTTTTCTTCAATATAAACATTTACAGATTTTTTGAGAAAACAGAGTATGTGTATATGTGTGTGTGTTTCTAAGTAAAGCCACATTTGGCTTATCTGCTATCTCCACCAAAGGGAAACGAACCCCTGATTTTAGCGTTTTAAATCTGCGGACTTACGGCTCTGTGGACGAAAAAGAGTAGTTAAAATAAATATTTCATCTAGATAAAAGATATATATTTCACCAAAAAATCTTTCAGAGCAATGGGTAAATATACTAAACATAATGCAGACCATTGTTTAGTTGTGTCCTGTTTTTGAAATTTGATGGCTTTTTATTTAGAGGTAAAAATATAGGCTTATCTTTATTCTTATGCTCATTTCAAAATTTCATGATGTTTTTAAGACTTTGCTATTACCATTTGGAGGAAAATGTTATTAATTGCAATTAGTGTTTAGGGATAACTATTGATTTTGCAGTGTTTTCAGGATTTATTTTGTTTTTTTGTTGTAGGTATGAGGAGAATTTTCTTAATTTCATGGTATTTTCAAGACATTTTTATTACAATTTTCAGAGGAATTTTGTCAATTGCATGGTGTCCACAAGACCCAGATCTTCTTCTTTCTTGTGGAAAAGACAACAAGATCTTATGTTGGAACCCTAACTCAAATATTCAGGATGGAGAGGTACTATAGAAGAAAGATTTAAGTTTTGTGTATTCAAAGTTAAGTTGTGTGTACTATAATGATGTTTTCAGTGAGTTTGTGTTGTTGTCAACCCTCATCAGCACACCGTTGAAAAGTTACATTGTGGAACACCTGGGGTCCCACTGGACACCAGCCCAAAATTACCATTATAGTAAACTCTGGATTTAAATTCCAAAAACCAGTTGCATTACAACTTTTATTAGGGTTAGCATGCAATGTGAACAACATAGGAATATATGTATTCTAGTGAAAATGTGTTGACAAATCAAGAAATTACAAAATTACATTGTTCATCAGTATACAAATAAGTAGTATTAAACCATTCCTTATACAAACAGTGTATCAAAACAATTCTAAAGTTTTATTATATGCCTATATTCAAGTGATTATTCACCAGTAAATGATGAGATTGCTACAATACTGCAAAATTCAACTTAAAGAAAACTGAAAGTGTATGTTGTTGGTCACCTAAGGTTCAACCACACCACAACAAAAATGTATCCTTATAGTACCCCATGGATTGAAAATCCAATAAGCAGGTTATTTACAACAGTTATCAAACAAGGTATCTACAGAATAAGGCATTATAAACAACCATCACAGAGAATACTTGTTGAGGAATGAGATGCACACACACACATGCTTACCACAATGATGTTATAAACAAACAGATGAGATGATACTGTACTACTTTGATGAATTATACTCTACAACAGCCTACATAGTGAAATAAATGTTTAGAAGTATGTTTTGTGTTGTATAGGGTGAACTGCATGTATAGTGACAGTACGTGATATTGTGGAGTTTGTTTGGACCCCAGATAAATGTTAGATTATAGCTATGTACTCCGTCTGCTTGTTTCGAAAACAATAGTGACATTGATCCAGGGTTTCTGCTACACAATTACATAAAATGATATAAATTTGTAATGATGTAAAAAAGATGTACAACTCAAAAAATCATTGGGGTCCACATGGACCCCAGGTGTGCTGATGAGGGTTAAGGTGCTGAAACATTAATGTAAATGTTATTAAAAAAATTTGTGGTATTTAAATTTTGGTTGTATTTATACTGTACTAGTAAAGAGTACAAGTTCAGCAAGGATAAAAAACAAAAGAGATTTTTTCTTTAACCATACAAGAATTGGTACCCCTATTGCAATACATTCATGTTGTTTCCCAGTGTTATATCCATTTTGTTTATATTCACAGTAGAATCAACTGACCGTTTTATAAATACTATCATGACATAATTAGGAATGACTTACTGGACACCACAAATTGTGGTTTGAGAGGACTGTACCTATTGATATATGTTTTAATAAGGATACATTTATTTTTCTAACCTCTTTGAAATCCCTAATGCTTTTGTTTCAATTGAGTCATCATCCAATGATTTTACATGTTTTAACATGACTAAAACTAAAAAAAAGTAATAAATAAGTAGATCCTCATGCAAGGATTATTCAGTGACACATTGTTTTGAGGGGTGTGAATCAAAAACACTAAAGCATTGTGTTGCAACTAAGAATTAAAGTCTAATTTAAGAAGGGATGGTCACAAAAGCATCCAGGTGAGAGAATAGTATCATTCAAAGAGTATCAGCATCAGATCAACTTAAAATGTCCCCAGAAGTAAATACAGATATATATATATAGAGTTAAAATAAGTAACAGAACTGTTTAAAGACAGTGGTCTGTCTGAAAAAGCTGCAACCAGAAAGACTAATATTTTGTATCAGAACTTGTTTGTTGACTATAGAAGTATTGGTGTGCATAACACATAAACTAAACATTTAATGCTTCTCTTGATTATTAAAAGAGCAGGTCTGTAGTCAGAAAAAAAAAAGTTTAACACTGTGTTAGTGTCTGTATGCATACATTTTATGAAGTGTAGCCTCAGGAAAAAGTTGAAGTTACAGTATTGACAATCTGAGCCATAGCTTGCTTATTTGGATGACAGAAAAAGCTAAGTAGAATTTCGTAAAGATTTAGATTTCAGGAAAATATAAACTCTTATAGGAAGTCTAATAAATAATCATCAAAATCAACCAGAATGTATTTTTGATAATTTATTTATCTATTTTGAGCAGGTGGTGTGTGAACTACCCACAAGTGACCAGTGGAGCTTTGATGTGTCATGGTGTCCTAGGAATCCTGCTGTTATTGCAAGCTCTTCCTTTGATGGGCATGTTAGTGTGTATTCTCTAATGGGAGGTCAACAACAAATTCAACCCAGTTCAAAGGTATTGCTATCAGTTGATTTCTTTTGGCATAAAATACAGATGCATACTCTGGTATGTAGTTATAGTATTTTGGCACTTGTGTATAAAGTTAAAATCATAAATAATATTCAACGT